AGCAGGGACCTGGAAATACCTGGTCGTAGTCAACAGAGTCAGATTGGGACAATCTTTTGGGGCAGCTTGTTTCTCCAACAGAAAATAGCCCTTTTGCAAAAAGAAGGTGGGAGGATTACCATCTATGTGCAGAATTATAACACCAGCATGTTCCCAGGAAGTGACAGTTCCATAAGGTGAGTTTTAAATAAGACAGAAAAAGGACATATATTAGAATGTTATGGATGTCTATTTATGGACAGCATTTTCCATCTGCTGCTAAAAACCTCAAAGAGCACAGTTGGAACAATCCTGAAAAAAGAAATTCTTTAATGCCTTGAAAAAATAGAATTAGCTGACAATTTACTACATGGTCTCTCTCTTTCTGCAAGCGGACACTGCACTTTGCAGGTACTTCAGGCGGTATGTGCAAGGATTTAGGTAACAACTCAGCACCAAAGAGAAAAAATGACTTCCTGTTTGCGGTGAGTATCCGTGTAGAAAAAGCTAGCCATACACGTTGGATTCTGCATTAGAGCAAGATTTTTGTAACGTTTTTAAGTCTGTGACTATTCAAACAGCATTTTTGAAATTATCTATTATTCATCCATTCGTTAATTTGCCATGTGCACTCTCATTTCAGAATGCACATTTTCAAAACATGTCAAGAATCTGATGGTCAGGCTCACCACACGAGAGGCCTCAATCACCACCCTGTCCTATTTGTTCTTAACTTGGGCATATCCCCAGAGGTATGTTACTGATTTTACCTTACTGCAAGACACCTAAATGACAGGCTTCAAGCTAGCAAATTGCTACTTGCCATACATAAGGAAATATTGGTAGCATGATTTTACTAAACCTGGCGAAACAGAATCTATCAATTGGTGCCAATCAGAGCAAGAAGCAAAGAAACAAGCAAAAACAATGGAATCAGTGTGCAAAAAGTTGATGTTTGTTTATTACTACTGTTTACGTTCTGTTGGTTGTTTAACTATGATGGACCAAGAACAATAGTCTTTCCCATTCACTTTTTGAATGGTATGGCCAGGAATGAATAGCGGGTGATATGTACCAAGATGCAAAAGATGGAATTATACAGCTCGCACTATTGACCAACATTGAGGG